GGCAGGAGAAAAAGATATTTTTCAGTTCAGTAACAATCAGTCGTATTTTGTAGAGATTATCCCCAGCATTTCGAGTTTGGTTATCACTAAAATGAAGGTTAGTTAGTAACGCTCTGAATCGATCTCGAGTGAAAAGTTCAGCAAATATAGGTGTTGCAATAAGATGATCGACGTAGACATTCTCCTAGAAGATCAACAAAGGTATCGGCGCTCACGCGCAATGATTTGAGATCCTTCATTCACGTGTCCAAGTAGAAAGAGGCAAGCAATAGATCCAAAACGGAATATGCTCATCCATTTCACATACGTTCCCTCTATTTCTCATTTTGGTTCGAAATTTCACCAAATGTGGCAAGAGGCTTTCGAGGATACACCACTTAACGGTGTCCTCCCCATTTTTGCCAATCGTTTGTCGGAAAATTTGACTCAAATGTTAATCCGGAAGAAACCACCAAAATCAATTTTACGACCCTCACTTCAAACCCCGCATCAAGTCATCTAAAAACTAAATTTCGAAAACAACTTTTCCGGATTAACATTTGAAAAGACCACTTGCCGTACTTCTATACCTCTAAAAGTATACAAGTCGTTTTCTCCACCTCTCGTCCTCCATTTTTTATTTTTATTTTTTTTTTCTGTTTTGAACAATGTCACACTTACCTCCTCATATTTTATGTTCCTCGCTCTACACTGTGTGACATTTATATACTCCTTCTTCTGCCACTGACAGTCAATTCTATACTATATATTAGCATTTTTTCTTTTCTCTCACTCGAGACTCTCGAGTCGAGAGTCTGTACTACTGTATTCCAAGAATTTTCGTTCATATTAACATTTTTTCTCTTTTTTCTCTTCTTCAAGAACAGGCTGTTCTAATGTATATATCAGCGACTTTTTTCAAACTAGAGATAGTCCTATATATACTCTTGCTTTTCCTCACTTCTCTCCACCATCATCTACTCTTCACATTAAGTATTGAAAAAGATTAAATTCGAAACCGGTCTACTTATACTCTCCTTCAATCTTTCACTAGTCTCTGACTAGTCAAAGACACTCACTGACTAATATTTCCTCTTCTCTTTTCATTTTTTTCTTTTTTCTTATTTCTTTTCTCACGTTTTCTTGGGGGTCATTCTGACTCACATATCTTCTTTTTTTTTTTTCTTCTACCTCTTATTATAAATAAAAACTTGCAAAAAACAAAAAATCGTTCAATCAGATATAAAACCCAAACTATCATATATTATCAAGGCTTACCAATATCATTACCATCATCATCTTCACCCTCACCCTATTATCCTTTCGATGTTTTCTTGTTAATTCTCTTTCTTATCCAACACTGTTTCGCGATCGACATTTTCCTTTCGACATTTTCCTTCTCATTGATTAAACATTCGCTATTTGTCTTTTCGACCTTTTCGTACTTTTTTGTCGACATTTTACTCTTCTGCGTTTTCCGCCAAGCCGGATATGTCAAATTTCCATGAGAAATGCAGATGCTGAGCTGTCATATGCACATTCGGAAAAGTCTTCTATTGAATATTGAGGTGATCTATTTTTGTTGTTTTACTAAGTCATAATATAAATTTTGATGTGACCCTGTTCGTCGTAAATTTGTACGTTGATATTGTTTTGATAAGTCGTCATCATCATCCCTTTCGCGTGTAGTTATTGACGTTCTTCTTGAATTATTCTTATAATTCCGTTTTCGTTTGAACAATGTATATAAAGCAGTAATTTCATACAATACATCTGTTGGTATTTTACTTATATTTTTAATATTATTGTCAATTATATCACTTATTTTATCTTGTAATTTTAAATATGTATAACTTAATAATTCTGGATTATATTTTTCATATTCTGTTGTAAATTCTACAAAAAAATGTCGTTCGGAACTTATGTAATCAAATTTTTGTAGTTTTTTCTCTTTTCTCCTCTCATCTACAATGGAAAAATATTCTCAACTACCTCATCTCCTTTTCGCATTTTGAACATATTATACTGTGATATGAAGCATCAACTAATTCTTTTGCTTGTACTATTCGTTCTGTTGTATAATTTTTATATGACGCTTTATCATTTCATTGTGGCAACATCATGCACCTTTGTGACATTGTCAGTAAATGATTCAGATTTTGTTAAAAGATGAATTTCTGATAGTAGTAATTCATGACGTTCAATACGCACCATATTTTTTTGTTACAATACGACATAGCTTACCTAATAGCAGACTATAATTATTCAATATATGAAAATATTGTATAAATTCTTCAATATCTAATAGATGGAAGTGGTTTTATTTCGTTTTTCCTTCAAAGTCAGTATAAAATTGTTTATTTCTGAACGCGACAAAAACATTTTTTTTAGAAATTTAAAATTGCAACGATCCAGCAAAATAATTTTTACATTTAATAGCGAGTTAGCATCCATACTTGACAAAAAACATTTTAGGATTTTGTAAAACATAACCTTCGTGACGTAGAGTAAAAACGGTAACACACTCACACTCCGGTGGCAGTTATGCGATCCAGTCGTTTACTTCCTTAATCCCTTGTTGCAACATTTTCGTCTCTTGTTGTTGATACAAAGCCATTCGAGAAAATCAATTGATTTTTTGAACTTTTATGTGAATCTATCATTCAGTTAAACTCAGTTAATTTAACTAAAGAGTAAATTTTAAATTGACTATAAAGAGTATTTAAGTAAAGAGTAAATTGACTGTATAGTCAATACGGCAACAATTCATCTGTGTATACCTAATAATTTCGGGGTATATGGGAATTTGCCATATACTTTGTGGCGCCTCCAAAACAGTCAAGCGAAACCTTTTTTAAATTTCTTTTATACCTGTTTTGTAGAAAATTGTCAGTTCCACAAGACAGAATAAGTTTCAGGTAAGGCCCATGCATTTAGGTTAGACATTTTTGCAAAATATGCGAAAACAATGAGCTTTTCAAAATCAGTTGAAAGATAGAATTTTATTCTGCGTCGAATGGAATGTTGTGCGAGAAAACCTGTCAGGTAGTTTGGAGAAATAATCAAAATACTAAAAAGTGTGCTTTTTGAGAAATTTCGACTTTTCGTTGTGTAAACATCCCACAACTCTCTAAATAAGAGGTCTTGAGTTGTGAAGCCAAAATTTGCAGATTATTATTTTAGATTAAGTTTGCTCTACAAATCTACGGGAGCAGAAAAAAGTTCATTTGCGTAAGTATCCAGAAAAAAATTATTATTTGAAGACCTTGGTTTTCACGGCTTCTAGAAAACTTGCTCGAAAACCACTTCTGGACCCAAAAGCGATACAAATTCTGAAAGTAGACACTCCATGCTATCTTTCCATGTGCTTATCTCAAAATCGATTTTTCTGACCGAAAATTGTGGTTTCCGAGGGGGGGGGCCTTAAGAGTTTCATTTCGCGTATGTTTTGAGAGCCTGCGCTATCAGCGTAGAGTTAAATCTCATTTTAGAAATTGTTTTATTTTTCTCTGTCGCATTTCCATACATGATTAGCAAAGTGGTCGAAATCACTCAGATAATACTTATTAGTATAAAGAGTTTGTTTCTCAAACAAAAATCAACTTTCATAGCATAATAACGTGCAAGACTGTTCATTGATTTAGCATAATTTTGAGCTTTGAATTGACCAAAGTTCATGAAACCACTATGGTTATTTAATTATTCAGCTTTACTATTGTCTAATTCATTGTCGGTTTTGGCCTTAGAATGATGTGCGAAAGATAATTTTTCAAATTCACTTAAAAATCTGATGTATTCAGATACAGTCAAATCATAATGTAGCCTTTTACAATCATTTTGTAATACATTAATCATTGACATATAATTCAATTTGGATAGTTCATATAATTTGATTAAATCATACCCATCATAATGCTGTAATACATTCAGAAATGTATTCAGGTGTTTTTCATTGCACCATTGATTTATATCAGATGACAACCATTGATTAATCGGTTTCTTAAGATAATGGCAATTATGTGGCAGCAATACCACATGTGTTTGTTGTATCATATTACTGAGAGTAATAAAACTGGATGGAATTATTGATTCAGTATTTTTTTTCTCTTCGGACGGTGAGTGTAATTTTCGTACAGACGAGAAATGAGCTCCCGGTTTCCTATCCATACTGAACAATTCTGCTTTTAATTTGGTAAATGCTAGGTCAAATTCATATTTAGTAAAATCAACATATTTCAACTGCGTTATCATTAAACCAAGCCAGCCGTCAGCTTTATATTTCTTTTGCATTAATAATGGTATTAATGTTAATTGTCTTGAAAACGCATATAGTGCTTCAGCACGACAATAATTACTACGCTTATAATTATCACAAATTAAAAGTAGAAGACAATCGGTTGATTCGATGGCTTCAGCCATTGCTTCCATTACATTTCCTTTTAAATAACCAAAATCAACCCAAACAGTATAACCATTTTCAATTAAATGATCATATATATGATGACATATATCTGTATTATCATGTGAATAACTTATCATCATATCAAAACGAGAACTATTAGAATGATTAGATGACGTTGTCCGTTCTTGATCAATAAGGTTTATAGTCGTTGTTCTATCTACATTTAAACGATTTGATATTATGGTTGAATTCTGGATAGACATGAATTCTGTTCTTGGTACGTTCATACCATTCTTCACTGATGGACGTGAAGTATTTTCAAAAGTATAATTCAAATTCCATAATATGCCTAACGGATACAGCAATAACAAATAAAATAAAAAAGTGCGAGATAAATGGAAAATTGGAATAGATGTGAACGATTGGAATGAGACTTTTCGAAAATACAATGAACGTCTGCTATTCTTTTCCAAATATAGTAGGCAAGACTGAAGGACATCCACGAAAATTTATAATAAATATATAAATATATAAATATTCATTGTCAACTCGAAGCTACAGAAATAAGAAGAAATTAATTTAGGGCTCTTCGTGTAAATTCTATAACTTTGCAAAGAAAGGTCATGTAGAGTTGGGAGAGGTCTCATTTTAATCAGAAATGTGCGGACTACAGGTATGGTTTATTAAGAAAAGCTTTGGTTATTTGTCAGAGTTTCGGAAAAACTGCTTTTCCAGAAAAACGGGTCTTCAAGAGTCCTGGGCGCGAATCCTTTTAGGCCTTTTACTGTCTCGATGTCGGCTATCGATCGACATAGGTTTGAAAAGAATCGAAGTTGGCCAGTTGGAAATGTTCCCTCGTAAGCAAAGGTTTTCTGTAGTTCGGAGATAGATGTCGCGAGAAATCAGTCAGCTTTTTATAAAACAAAAAAGTCATTTATGGACAATAAAACTTGCAGAATATAAATAGTTTATCATGGCGAATCGATTATGAGTATTTCCAGCCCCTTTAGGATCCTCAGAGGGTGTCCAGAAAACCTTTTAGTTTTATATTACACTGTGCACTTTTTGCGTGGAATCACAGAGGTTCACAACATTTCTCAGTTAGCCTGGTTGCGAGCACTGACCGAAGGAAGACATGAGCATTGTCTTGAATTTAGAAACAAAACCTGAAGGTGTTCTCGAAAGGTGACATTCATTGATCATAATTCAAAGAAGTATATATCTGATGCTGCTTTTACATTTGCTTGTTCATCCTTTGTTTCTTGCAAACTGATCAATGTTTCAATGAATTCTTTATTATTTTCCAATTGTTGTTGTATTAATACATGAAATGATAATGTCCATAATATGTCATAGGCTAATGGATGAAATTTGGCTAAGTCGATTAATAAAGGAATTTTATTTGATTTAGCTATTTCAACTTGAACAACGTCATGTATTGAAAATGCTAATAAACCTTTTAAAAATATTTCTATTGGCACACACATAAATGAATGTCTTGAACCATAAAATTCTGCTTCTAATAAACGAAAAAATGTGTGCACTGTTGTATCACTCAGTTTCAATTTTAATAAATCATCTTCAGTAGATACGTAGGCTAATATTAAATATGCTGTTAATCTTGTACGATCATATTTAACTTCAGTTAATGAATATATTCGTTGTGCAATAAATGGTATATCATTAGTAAAGAAACGTAATATGTCACTATCATCACAACAGATACTAAATAGAACAGCAATTGAATCAATTAATATTGTTTCATTATTTGTCCATGTTGAAATTATTGATTCTTGTAATTTTTTTTCGCTAATTATACTGACAAGAGAGTGAAATAATTGCTTATCATTTTTAAATACTTCAATTGATCTAATATCAAAACAACAATGTGTTATAAAACTTATTATACTCATTAGACAATGCACTATTTCATTTGACCATTGATTAACATGCTTTGAATACACAGTTATTAATGAACTGTAATAGAGTGAATAAAAGTGTTCAAGTAGCGGTTTTGTGTCAAAACCATGAAAACTACGTGTATGAACTGACACTGAAAATGAACATGTTCCTATAAAAAATTCATAAGCTGGTTTCCATATAAAACTTGAACCATTATACATAATCATTTCTCCAATATACGTTTGATACCATGAACCAAACATAAGCTCTTTAATTTTCGTATTTAATCCCATCAAACATTCACTATGCGCATGTTCTGGATGTTCATGTTCAAAATGAGAGACAAGTTCAATCCACTGACCAATAATTAATAGAACACTATCAAAATGGAAACGATCTGATTTATTTACTTTATTTAACATTGAAAATAATACGTTAAAATATTTTTCGTTCAACAATAAGTTTCTTAAACGTTCAACGTCAGTAGCAGCTGCTTCTTCATTGACAAGAACTACAAGTTTCATATTAAATACAATAGTTTGTTTGAGATAATTAGTTTCAACATCTGATAATCTATGACTTCTTTCTTTATACCATCGATAGAAGAGACGCCAGACTAAATAGTGAACTAGATCAAAGCCTGGATGTAATAGAAACTTTAAAATATCGTCATTTGGAAGATTTTCAGCATCACTGAGAATATGAGTAATAACTTTTAAAATATGATTGTCTACGGGCAGTACATTTTTAATAATACTACAATTATCTGTTCGTTTTAGCATTGAATCCATAACACCTAACCGATTAACAATTTCTTCCATTTTCAAAAATTTTGTTCTATATCAGGATATTGGTGATAAATCCAAGAAATACAGAACGAGAGTTTCAAGACAATCATTTTAATCAAATTAATATTATTCTCAATCGATAAGACAGTTCGAGAGCCATTCATTCTCAGTTAAAATCTTTGAAAGAAGCTAAGTTTGTTTTCTTTTTCAAGTGTTAGACTAATATGCCATCTCACTACCTTTTCATATGTTCAGGTGAATGTTAACTAATCGATAACACTTTCTAGCGTTTCACAAAGCACACCACTCTCTAAAAAATGGTTCTGCGACAACTGGTCGAATGACACTTAGTCGAACGACAATTGGTCGCAGCGACAACTGGGCTTCACGAGAATTAGTCGCACGGTAGAATTCGTCGCATGCTCAATGTGTGGCATTAACTACCAAAGGAGTATTATAATTAATAAATAAGGAAGAATTCAGACAGATATCAACAACACAAGCAACAGAACATTCGAAGACGAAGTGCATTGAAAAATGAGTACAACTTATTCTACAAGTTTCTAGCAAATCCTTCTGATTGTTTAAGAACTGTTGAATGTGAAGCAAGAAGTAGTTGCTTTAGACGTTTACCATAGTCCATATACTTTTTACTTAGATTCGAATTTTGGCCTGCATTACCCTTCCTTATCTGACAATGAATATAATTGTCTTCTTTCTGCAGACTTTCGATAAAAATCCAGAGAGACGGATGTTGACATTGAATAGCCGAATTAAGTCTTCTATGCCAGGCTTCGGTAGAATTATTTGAACGCATTGAATGGTGATTTTTCTTCTACTGATCATCCATATATACGGTTGAGTAGTCGGCTTGTCTGCTTAGCACCCATTTCATGGTTTTTGATCAGTTGTTCTTTCCTTTCTAAACTAACTGCGACTTTGACGGTAGAGACCTGCAACCCGACCCGACCCTAGGGTCGAGTTGGGTTCGGATTAAGATGCTGTCGGGTCGGGTGGGGTTCGGGTTGAATATTTGGCGACGCAATATAAAATATAAATAATATTTTTAGCTTTGTATTACTGGTTGAAAGTTACCTCTACTGGAATGTCCAGTTGAAAGACTTGTTTCAGAACAACTGCATTCACTAAGTCGATTAATGATTACTTTCTTTGCACATAAGAGAGTGCTTCCTGCACTGAAATCAATGGCAATACATCTCTCTTACTGCTTTTTTTCAATGTACTGTTTTAAACACCCGTACATAGAAGACTTTACTATAATGCTCTCTACTTGCTATCTTAGTATTAGGTGATACTGACTGACCAATGAGAAAAAGGATGTGGTCAT